TGCAGAGTGCAGATGAATGGGTTTCAAAACATGTTCCAAACATGCTTCAAGCTTCAAGAAAAATAAGCTACTTGTTATGCAGTTGTATTAAACTTGTGGTAATACACTGAAGTGTGGTATATTGAATTTAATAATATTTTTCCTAGCATTTCACCATCACCATGGCGATGATGACATGAAGAAACCTGTTACCTTTACTCATGTTATTCTTTTCATAGCCTGTGCTATGTGCCATGGTTATATCACCTGTCATGCATCGTAATGGACAAGGAGACGGAACACACGATGCTGTTAACACAGCTTTCGAGTATTAACTACAGAGGGAAAATATAGGGTAACACTTTATTTGGATTGTCCGCCTGCAGAGTTTTTGTAGCAACTTAGTTGAGATTCAACAATTCAGCTGTTTCACTGTGTCTGTGGATGTTTAACAGAATACATAGTATACAGAGTATATAATGATTCATGAACATATTTACATATTCTTAGAATAATTTGATTGAATTTGACTACTCACTCAACCGATGTTATAATAATTGTTGAATCTCAGCTAATAAGTAGTTGAAATGTTACAAAATACTCAGTGTACCCTCTGTAGGCAGACTATTCAAATAAAGTGTTACCAAAATAGGAGAGAGCATGACATCAGAACACAGCTGTCGGTATTGCATCATGCAAACAAATAAAGGCAATCGTTCTCATTTTAGTATTCCTCTTGCTCTCAGAAGCAGTTAAATATTATTGTGGCCTTCCCTTTTGCAGTTGTCATTTCCTGGAAAAAAAGGTTATTAGAAGGTCACAGCATTCTGAAATGTCACGCGTTCTTGGGTCCCACCAGGACATTTCAGAACTGTTTGATTATTGTTGCGTTACTGTTTCACTAGCCTAAATTATTCAATACCTTTAAATGTCTCTAGTTCCAATAAAGGATCACAATTAATTCTTGAATCAGTCTTCTCATCAGTGCTGTTTTGGGTCCAGTGCAAGCTTAAAAGAATGCCCCCATGTCTTTTAATAAGCCATATAAGTAATTCATTCCCACCCTCCAAGAAAAGCTAATATAATTAATGCTGATTAGGGTCAGTTTTGATAATGTTGTTCATGTCAGCCAAGTGTCAGAAGGTATCTTTTGTACATGAGCACGTCACAACTGTGGGAGTTTATTAAGATGGCTGACTGAACTTTGAAAATTCAGATATACAATATTCTGAAATGTTTGCTCTTGCTCTTCCTTGCATGTAGCAAATATTTTTCAACTGAGCTTAATGAACTCAAAAATGTTGATGGACTAATGGGCTGGAGATTTTGCAGGATGAATTAAAAGACAGTTTAAAGACTGAAGAACAACTTTTTAAATTAGATTTTTGCAATATAGAAAATGCATTTTATTTGGCTGTATGAACAACAGGTAAAAAAAACATATTATATAAAGTTTAACTGAAGAATGCTGAGCCTTAGCATTTACGTCAAAGGAAGATATATTCATGGTAGCAGGTCCAGCACCCCTTGAGTTAACCCCTAGGCAGGACTTACACCCTGATCAGCTTCTCCTTCCATTGCTGCAGAACCAGAATTGAATCTTCTTAGAAAGCAGGTCAACACGTTCTTTCTGTTTCTTCCAAGAACACTTTAATTTTATGTACAATGACACCTGGAATGAAACATACTCTAAGTCATGGATTAAAATTAGCCTGGAATTTGCTATGTGAAGACATTAGTATCTGTATCAGAAACCTCCATGCTTGTAGTAGGAAAAAAATGAGCCCATAAAGTCAGTTACTGTGTAACTTTTTCTAGAGACACACAACACATGATTACATTTTTCATAGATCTAAAAATCTTATGTAATTTCAAGTTCATGTGTGTATTGGAAAACTGGTGAAATCGACAACTGACATTATAGTGTGTCACATGTTTTTGTGATATGTATGTACTTGCACTTATGCACAGGCTGCTATGTTGTGTAAGAATTGGGTGTATTATAACATTCTTTGCTTTTTCCCAAAATCCAAGGAAGCTTACAGCTGTTTGACAAGCTATGCTACCTACATACAAGGTATTCCTATGACTGCTGAGCCTAATGAATACTAATATCAATGTAATTCAAAATGTGATTGGATTACTGATATTTGGATTGGGCGGTGTGGTGCTAAGCACTGTTGCCTCACCCCCCCTCTGGGGCCAGGGTTCTAGTCTCTGCTGGGACTCCACGTGTGGAGTTTGCATGTTCTTGTCCTGGGGTTTCCTGTGGGTGGTCTGGTTTCCCCCCACAGTCCAAAAACATGCTGAGGTCAATTGGAGTTGCCAAGTTGCCCATAGGTGTGCGTGTGTGAGTGACTGGTGTGTGAGTGTGTGTGTGAGTGTGCCCTGCGATGGGTTGGCGCCCCATCCTGGGTTGTTCCCTGCCTCATGCCCATAGACTCTGGAGCCCCCCCCCCCCTCCGCCCCCCTCGTGACCGGTTTCCGAAAATGGATAGACGTGACCTGGTCTTGATCCTGGCAGTTTGCTACAAAGGCTGGCTTTTCTTCCATTTCTTAATTAGCCTTAAAGTCTTAAGTTAATTTATTAAATTAGTTTTTCACTAATTAGCCTCGAGTGCAGAGGTGAACGCTGATGAACAAGGAGAGCTGTGTGCCCTGGGCTTTGCAACGTATCTAATGATGCCTCCAACTCCAGCAGATCATTAGCAGCTTCTCCCTCCAGTGGGAGCTGAAAAGTCTGCAGACACGATGTGTTGCCTGGTGCTGGAGTCATTCCTGGAGGCTGAGCTTCTCCCACCCGGCACGGATCATTTTGGTAGCTGCGAGCCAGGGCTCAAATCAGATGGCAAGCCAAAGCCTGCGGCCAGTATGGTGACAGTCAAATACTCAGCGTATCTCCGAATGGACACTTTACCCATAGAGACAAATGCCGGTGATGAAAGCCCCGCGGGGAGTCGAACTAAGAGCCGACACAGGAAATCACCTGGTGAAACAGGAGGTGGGATAACTCAGATAGGCGATGGCAGCCTGTCAGGGTACACGGCTCCACTAACGACGAACGGGAATGAAAAACAAGCAGGTGGGATGTGTATCTTCCACAGGAGTCCCCCTGCCTTGTGCTTCCAGGGATCCAAACTCACTGCAAACCCCTTTTAGGTCAGTCCTTTCTGAAAAAGCATGGATCTAACACTTTCTCTGAATGCCGTATGTATAAGAATCTACGAACACATTCGTAACACATAATAATGCATTCATAAAATATAAACATGGCTATAAATATTTATAAAAAGACATAACACATTATAGCCGTGTTTCCTATACATTATGAATTCTTTATGAAGCGCTCATCTATAATGCAATATAGATACCTTCATAATGTACTAAAAAGCATCCTTAATGCTTTCGCCTACCATTACAGTGCATTACGTAAATTGTTACCACATTTTCTTTTATAATAAGCATCTCCTAATGGAGAAGCTGTGTAGTCGGATAGTAGTCACACATCGTTTTAAAGAAACATCGTTTTAAAGAAAGGAGAATGGGTTAAATCAAAAAATGTGGAGAAAGCTAGGGCTTTTTTTTCCCCTTTAGCCGCAAGTTTGTCAGTTATAAATGAAAACCCACTTTTTGCGCTTACCACAAAGCATTACGTTGAAAACAGTATTTTGCGTATCTTGTTTCAAATTACCTTTATTTTGTGTTAATTTTCTTATATTCCATATAGTTCTAGTAACAATGAACAGAAGATCACTTTCCAAAACAGCAGTACCACAACATTTGTGCTGAGTTATTCAAACTGACTTGTATCAGCTAAGCTCTTACTTTTACATGTGAAGATGATATGGTCAGTGACAGCTTTGGCAAAAGTATTCATTTTTTGTGTGCAATGCCTGCCTTACAGAGATGCATTGCTATGTTTCATATTACATTAAAACTACTTAAACATTAGGGGGTATTGACAATGGAGATGAGTCAGAGTGTAGGAGGCTGGTGTAGGACACTGTCTTGTGGTGCAGCGAGAATCGCGTGGCTCAATATCCGCAAGACAAAGGAGTTAGTGGTGGATTTTCCAGCATGTCAAGTAGCCCCTGACAGCAGCCGCTATCCGGGGGGAGGAAATGGAGGTGGTGCGGTGTTACAAGTACTTTGGGGGGGTCAAGCTGAAAAGCGGACTGGAGTGGATGAATGGGGGGGGGGGGCGCAGCAGCACTGCGCGAGAAGCACCAGAGCAGACTCTACTTTCTGAGAAGGTCTTTTGACACATGCATCAGTTGCTGAGGATGTTTTATTAGTCCAGGGTGTCCAGCTTAGTTCACTAGGCTGTGGGTTCCATGGGAAGCGGTATCAGTTTAGGAGACGGGGGGGAGGCAAGAGAGGAGGAAGGAGCAGATGCCAGAAGCCTGAACAAACTCTTCAGGAAGGCCAGCTCCATCACAGGACTCACCCAGAAACCACTGGAGGCAGTAGCAAAACAGTGGATGGGAGCAGAATTAAAGAGCATCATGAACGATCCTGCACATCTCCACCGCGTGGCGCTGTTCTGGAGTCCGTTTAGCCACTGGCTCATTGCAGCATGGTGCGCTGAAAAACATTACCGGGTTTCTTTTCTATTTGCTGCCATCTGGCACCTCAGTGCTATAAAATATCCCAGGACAGCATTTCAACACGGTGAATATCACCCATGACCTCATAAGTAACTATGTCCCTCTATGAATACCACCTATATAAAGTGCATCTACTTTTTTTTTTGCTCAGATAAATCATTGTCTGCTCTATGTACACTGTCTTTGTACTTCGTCATGTGTTTTGCACCCTCCCTTTGCTACTGTACGGATTGAATTTCACTTTGGGATCAATAAAGCACATCTATCTATGCAGCCAATCCTCTAATGCTTTACCTGAACAGGGCTGCGCAGAATGCTGGAGCCTGTTGGGGGCAGCATAGAGCACAAGGCAGTGAGACATCCTGGAAGGGACAGCAGCCCATCGCGGGAGACACGTACAATCACACGCTACAGGTAACTCACAGATGCCAGTATGTGCATCGCTGCAGGATGGAACCATGACCAACATGCGGGGAAACATGCAAAAACACACAAACAAAGCAGAGACAGGGTAAATTACCCAACATCTACATTAAAGAATGACCTGCAATGCCGCATTTTGGGATTATACAGTATAGTGAATTCCCCACCCAAAAAAATACATGAAACACACAAAACAAGCCTGACTCCTAACCTCTGGACAAAAACAGTGGAGACAGAAAGTCTGTGAAACCATTAGAACAATCTTATTCCTGCCTCGTTTTTAACTTCACATCCTAATAATGAATGAAGTGAATTTAAACAAACGACACGAAAAAATGCACTTTTTCAGCCAAAGCCGTTTTAGCGCCTTCCTCTAGGCAATGGACTTATTATGGATCCCCACAAAAAGCACAGTATTGCTGGTTCCAAACCGAAATCCAGTTCTGACACAAGCCAATTTTGACAGAAGCCGTTGAAAAATCTTCACCACATTCCAGAAGAACAGTCAAATGTATTTTGGGGGCCAAGAGTTGGAACGTCGAAGGAGGATAATGAAGACCTGGTGTGTCCAAAATGAAAAGCATCACAGCTAAGAGCAAAGGTGGTAGGCAGGTTGTTTAAGAGAGACATCCACAGGACCATATCCAACAACTAGGGAACTATGACACATCAAGTTTAACTATAACGTGTTATATATTACTATAATACTGTGTATCATTATGCATTAATATATTATAGATATTACAGAGGCCACTGTATTTAATTGCCTTTGTAATAAGTACTTACAGTGAGCTACAGAATTTCTGCTGTGCAGGTGTCAAGGCAAAAACTCTCAAAATGATATGGCACCACTGTATTGTCAAACAATAACTGCGATGTATCTATACTGAGCCAGTAGCAGGAAATCATTATGTCGTATAGCAACATATGCTTTCTTGTTATTTGTTTGTTTCTTTGTAGGGAGGCATGCCTTTTCCTGAAATTCATTCGATGTATTTGTATTATGCTACGTCAATTAAAAAGGGGGGGGGGGATTTATAAATAATCCCCCTGGAGGATAAATAAAGGTTAAGAACTTCTTTTTATTACCATTTCTGTGTTCTCAGAAGTATTTTTGTTTGTTACCATGAATGCTAAACAGATAAACAAATGAATAAAGAAACAAAGTATTCAATGAAATGTCAGACACATAAAAGCTGGCACAGTGTTTTTAATATTTCTAACCTTGGATACATTTAAAATTCAAAGCTCTACAGGAGATTTATAGCATACTTAATATAATACTATAGCATAATTACAGTAGATCTATAGTAGCTTTCAAACCAGGCTGGAGATACAGTCTAATGGGACCTTTTTTATTAGATAGGTGTAGCTAGAAATTCTGGGCCCCCTGAAAAAATGGCACCTTGGGCCCCATATAGTTTAATAGTTTTACGTATTCAAGGGCCCCTGTAAAGTGCTGGACCCCCTGAATCTGCCAGGGTATGTATTCTTCTCCTACACCCCTAATTAGAGATATAGTAATATTTCTCAGATAATTGTTGAATGACATTTGAAGAGTAAAATGTTTCCTATTGCAAGCAGATGTATGACAGAATGTGTTCACTGGTAATTTTCGCACTTGATCATTATCCAGTTACTGATCTTTTCTAACCTAGAATGTAATATTAAGCAATTAAAGGCTGCTTGTATATTGCTGGTTAGATGTGAGATTACTTTTTTTGAGAATTATTTTGTTTAATAATGTGTCATTTTTCTTTGGGGTGTAGTTTCGAATATTACATGCAGGGAGACAGTGAAACTGTAATAAAAAAAGAGCAAACACCTATATCTCTACAGTGTCACAGTTACAGAGTTGCCCTTGGAAAATAAAGAAACATTCTGATAACACAGAAAGCAAATGTTATCAGTGTGACTATCCTGCCAATGTAATTGCTTTTATTTCATCACCTAATGACTGCCCATGATTTAACGTCCTTCCTCCATCAAACTTGCCTTTCCCGACGGTCACACCTCAAGTGTATCCCCCTAGTATTGTGTACATTTTCTGCTGTTCAACATCCGGATTTTATGTGTCTGTTTTTAGTGCTGGTGACTCATCTATATCAGTGTTTGACAGAGCTAACAGAGCATGAAAATGCACCACTAAGTGATTGTGATCTCAGTGTGATATCTGGCCGTCGGAAACATTTATGCTGACATGGAGGAATACACTATACCCTCCCACCGAGTTATCGGTTTTATCTGCGTGTCTTTTGCCTGTTTATCTCAAAGATAAAATTGTGCATGGAAAATGAACAAATATAGTGCCAAGGTGGATCAGTAGGGCTCAGTTTAGCTTCACAATAACTGGGTTGGGGGCTCTAATCCTGCTTCTGCTGTGTGTGTGTGTGTGTGTGTGTGTGTGTGTGTGTGTGTGTGTGTGGTGTGAATTATGTTTCCCAAGCCAATTCTGTTATTTTGACGTTGTGGGGACCATGTTTCAGGTCCCCACAAAGATCTGTGAATGCAATCAAAAAACTAAAAATGCCAAAAGTCTCGTATTTTGACTGGTTACTTATGGCTAAGGTCAGGGCTGGGTAGGGGTTAAGGTCGTCATGTTGGGATTAGGGTTTTCCCCATAGAAATGAAACCTGTGTGTGTGTGTATAGAGTTTCTGTCACATGGGCTTTCACTGGGTATTTTGATTTCCTCCTAAAGACCAAGGTAATTTATTCATCATTTTGATCTACTGTGTTTGTCCACCGATGCTCTCTGCCTTCCTTCCCACATGTCCGGATGGTGCCCAGGGTGGGTCCTGGTTCAGTCCCATAGAAGGGTGACATCATAGATGTGACTTACCAGCTGTAACATTGTGGGTTCAGCCTACAGCTTGCAACCCTACACAGGCCAACGTGGAGAACTGACTCATTGATGGACTTTGCCCTTGACCACTGAACACACTTTGGTTGACCTTGCACCCCCAGAGACCTTTTCTCCTCCCTACTTGGGAGTTTTTGGTTAATCTCCTCCATTGTCATCTGGCTTTATTTCTTTCTTTCATTTCTTTGTCTCCCCTTTTCCCTGTTTTTAAACTATTCCGAATAAATGATACAGGAATGCATCACAACATACCCATGTAAAGCACCTTGGTGTGACTGTTGTGTATATAGAAATATATTGAATTGGAAAAAACTAAATCAATTACCATCTGTAGTTTGTCCTGTGAAATTCTGTGACGTAGGCCCCGAGCCCTGTATTGGGAACCCATGTAGATGTTTGGAAGTTGGGTTATTGAGCTGGAAATGGATACATCATTTTGAAATATTGTTTTTTATTTCCAAAATAACCAGTAGATGGCAGCAGTACGACACAATTGGATCAAATAATTGCTAAGTGAATACAGTAAGCACAGGTACTGGCAAAAGGAGGCTTTAGTGTATGGGCTTGGCCAAGCTGAAGCCCGCTGACCTCTGCTGAAAAGGTGCTTCAGTTAACCTTGTCTAATAAAACTGTAACTCCCCCCAGTCGACAAGCTTTACCATCTCACCACAAGGGTCAACAGCTGCACCATTGTGGAAAAGAGTAGGATGGCTTCTCAAATACCATCTGAAAATATGAAATTATTTCTTTCACGGCAATGTGGTATAATTTCAATAATGCAAATGTGGGTAACTTTTGTGGTTTTCATATACATAATTAATTACAATGGAAAAAAAAATAGTATATCCTGTGCCTTCTGAATGTGAATTCAATAGTTTGAATTGATAGTCTTATAATTTTATACTAAATATGTAATGCACAAATTATGTTATTTGTGAAAAATGTGTAATCATTCATTGATTCATTCATTGACTCATTGATTGTTTCATTGACTCATTGATTGATTGATTGATTCATTCATTCATCCTTTTATTTACAATTTGATTGATTGATTCATTAATTAATTCATTCAGTGCAGTAATCCTGGAATCCAGCCCAGGAAACTCGGGGTACAAACCAGGGAGTTGTTGAGTTCAAGCTGCTGCTTTATTATTCTAATATATACTTCTATTATTTGTAGAATAAACTCTGACATAGATAACTGTATAAAACCTTTTCAAGGCACTCCAGGGTACGTTGAGATTTTTAAAAAGGAAACAAATTTAAATCAGCATATGCGTCCCTAACCTGTGGTCGACATCCCTGTAGTCGCTGTAATAACCTAGAAGTTAATCTTTTTTGCCTCGTGTTATTTGATAGCTAATTGTTTTTTTTTATCTAAATCTTGTTTATATTTTCCAGTAGTATCATCCTAGTTATACCCACATGGGACATAATAGTACAATAAGATAAATTAATCACAAAATTTGTTTGTGCATCTGTTTGAGACACCCTTCAAAAGACTGATGCATAGAATCATGCTGGAATTTGAGTTATAGCAGATAATAGCGATTTTCTGTTTGTGTTGTGTGATTTTTAAAACACTGAAAATGCTGTACTAGTTGTTTTGATGCCACTTCTGGAATCAGTGTTACAGAATTAGTCAAATCAGTTTGGCCCAGATTAAGAAAAGCTACATATTTATAGAAACACACACACACACACACACACACACACA